ACTGCGAAGAGGCCCTCGATGATGCCGCACTAACAGAAGGCGACTGCAACTATTTTATCAGGTGTGGTCTATGATTTCATCTTATTCTGGATGATAACTTTTTTCCTTCAATTTCTTTACTCAGCCAATGATTTCATGATAATCATGAGAAACACTACTATAAGATGATCGCTGCATATTTAAGATTATGCAAATTTTATTTCATCATGTTCCTATGTGAACGAGGTGCTATTGGAACCTGCTCATATGACTCCATCCTACCTCTCCCTATCCTCACCGTTACTATTAAGATCTCCTCCGGCGCCATCCTCCTCTGTGATGCCCTCTCCACCGGGGCGAGGTCCATAGGATGCAGCGACAACAAGGTTGAGGGAGTCACATGGTAGCGAGATCCATCAGCAAGTATCCTGGCTCTGGTGTATTATTTGATTTATTTCTCGATACACTGCTACGAGGGACTGTACTAAGTCGTACGTTGCTGCAGATGGCTCTTGGTGTATTCTTGTTCGATCCTGCTGGACAAGAAGGCCTGAGTGATGACAACTCAGGCGACAGAATTGGTCTGCCATCGTGGAAGTTTAGGATCGACGCCGACTTGCTTGACGTAAGTGTGGCCGCCATTGCCCTTTTGGTTCAATTCTCTGACTAATGGTTGTTTGTTAGAGTTCAAACAAATTCATTCAGTTGTGCAATAAATTTAGTTTTTCACTATCATCACCATCGATATTCATAATTCGAATCAAATATAAATAGTATTAGGAGTTTGTATACTTGAAACGAAGGTGCAATACATTTTCGTTCAAAGCATTGATACTCGTCAATCAAGGACTCCACAACCGTGGTGGTTATGAATAAGTGGTGGCACCAGCTCGGTGCTCTCCAGCGGATGCTAGGGTGAGTTTGGATGGGTTTGGAGAATCAGATGTCAAGATGTCCATGCACAGGGTCTCCGGCAGCCAACTATTTTTTACTATTATTGAATTGCATAAACTGTTTTTTCCAAGAAAATGGAGTTAAGACAATTAGTTTGTTGGGATTATCATTTACTCTTTTTTCAAATAGTGGTCTTCATTTCGGAGCCCTTCATGCAGTTTAATAATAGCTAGGGAGCTAGGCTTGCAAGAACTTACTCTTAATTGGGTTGTGAGCTAGGGATGTAGCACTTCAATGGGTGTCTTGGTTGAGTTCTATAATTGTCAAAAATTGATGGTGCTGATAAAATTGACAATCCTGTAACTCAGCAGTACCTTTCTTTTTTTCAAAAAAGGAGGGCAAATGCTACTTATGGCCGAATCCATGTTCTTTTTGTTGTTTTGATTTGATGTCCACAACCCACATGTTAACTTTCAGATGTGTTTGTAAAGAATCAAAAGGAGTTGGCATAATGCCAATCTTTCTTATCGTCTTTTTTATTCTTTATATTTATATAAATTCTCACCAACAAGTACATGGCTAGGTAATGGCCGTAATGCTGCATCCTTTAGCCAGTGTGCCCCCTTGAGATATACTGACTGCTAGCTTATGCATATTGTCTTTTATTTGCAGGGTAGAGAGCTGTACAAAAAACAACGGTTTATTTCCAAGCTATATCAGAGACTTTAATTCATGTCTTTTATATGCATCGAAGAAAACTCATCTGAGGATGAGATTGTTGGCCTGACAGAAATGTTCAAAACACGATATGAATTTTTAAAATACTATTGTTCTTCAAAGAATCTTACATCTTATACATTTCTTTCCTTGCTTGGAGGTATATATTATTCAGATTTCCTTTGCTACTTGATCTGTGCAGTTCTTTTTCCTCTTAGAAAAGAAATCATTGAACTTTATACTTGAGACACAATTGATCAGGCCTCATCAATAAAAGCCTTTCAACCAACAATAATTGATCCAGCAGAGGCACCTAAATCTTTAGTTACACGTACTGCAGTTTAAGTTTCTAACACGAGAGAGAGAGGGAGGGAGGAGGGAACATAGTGCTATGCAAAGTGAAGTGTAGCAAAACTGAATCGTCAGCTTCACACAAGAAAATTAGACCATGTTGATGAAACTTAAGCAACATTTGTGGCACTAAGAGTGGACACATCTAGATATCAGTTGCAATCTGCATTTTCTATCATATTTGCAGTTTTCTGAAGGATAGACCTTCAGAACTTTTCACAGCTAATAAGCAGGGCTGGAGCTGAAACAGTAGTGGTGGTTGAAAAGTTTGGAACATCACAGGTCCTAATAGTCATAGATGATTGGACTAAATATGCTTGTTTGAGAACAAAAAAACAGAATCTCTAAGTTGTGGATTTTTTTTGCCTATTGGTGTAGTCTGTAGATTGTCTTTCCAAGCGACATGGGAAGAGATCTTCATTGATATGCACCAATCCAAGAGCACAGTGTGAGATTTTTATGGAGTAATTCAACATAATTCAACACAAGATTTTGCAATTTGTTAGTTTCAATAGGATAATTTTTTTTTGTGTGTGTAAATGTTGTAGCTCCGTTCAAATTATGATGTAGTGGCTTCTGGTGCACCTTAGCTTGTTGAAGAATTTGTGTGGGAGAAAGCTGAAGCAACTACAGTTAAGCCAAACATATGTCTCAATAGCATGTAGAATGCCAAATTTACTTTTCCTGCACAATTATCGTCGACGTGCCAGGTTACCAGTTGTGCTACAGGTCACTACCACTACCGAAAACAGTCGCTTTGCCGTGTGCCATAGGCACTCGGCAAAGCCCAAAAAACACTCGGCAAAGGATTTGCCAAGTGTAACACTCAACAAACAGCACACGGCATCTAAAGTGCCGATAAACGGCTCTTTGCCGAGTGTTTTCTATCGGGCACTCGGCAAAGACTTTGCCGAGAGCTGAAACCGACACTCGGCGAAAAAAAAGTAACATGATGGAGTGAAAACGATCACGGCGCGTTTGCCGAGTGTCAAATCTCAGGCACTCGGCAAACCTTCTGTATTATGATCCTCGGATACCAAGGTAATGAATTTTGATTGTGGATCGAATGTTGTTAACTAGATTTTGTATATGCTTGATAAAAGAATTGTTGGGGCAGTACAAAAGGCACAATCCAAATTATTCCATGGATTAACTAAACTTCAGTTAAATTTTTAGCAGATGCAGAGATAGTAAAATGAAAGTTTCTGTCTAATATTTTGGGGCTCTCTGCTGTCACTTAGAAAAAAATTATGCCTCATAGGACAAAAATATATTCTATGATAAAAAAACTATGCATGTGCATGTTCAATACTTAGGTGTACTACATGATGGAGTTAACATGTCGGTTACAACAGTTCATATGGTATTGTTCATAATTTGTAGGATATTAAATTTAGGCTGGGTGCATAGTAGGCCACCTAGTTTTATTCTTGCAACTTCTATCTCTTTATGTGTTAGTCTTTACCAATGGTATAATTTGTTCGTAAAGCTCAAGCAACACAATTGGCAAAGATCAAGCAAGACGACTCAATGAGGTTGGCCCTTAATTTTAGTGTTTTCAACATGCAGACCTAAAATTAAAAAGTGTCTGCTCTTTGAGAACATCAGTGGTGCCAAATAAAAGATGTGCAGGTTATACATGGTGAGATTGGTGAACCTTCTGCAATTTCCTAAACGAATATTCCCACCATTAGTATATAGGTCCATTCCCTTGCGTTTTTTTGTGCTCCCATTAGCATATAATATAAAAGTATTGTTGTGTTCATCACGACTTCCAGTTGACTACTTCCATTAGCATATACTTCCTCTGCCCCAAAATATAAGTCGTTATGGGATACGTGTAGGTCAAACTTTCTCAACTTTGACTAGATTTATAAAAAATACGTGCAACATTTATATCTCTAAATAAGTTTATTATGAAAATATATTTAATAGTCTATGTAATGATACTAATTATGTATTATAAATATTAATATTATTTTATATATAATTGGTCGAAGTTAAAAAAAAGTCAACTTCTCGAGAAGCGAGAATGAATTCTATTTTGGGACAGAGGGAGTATATAAAAGCAGTGTTGAAAATATTTTAACAATTAAGTTCGTCTCTGTCTGATTGGTAAGCTTAGACATCATAATGGCATCAAAAATTTCGACTCTCATGGACACCCTCATGGATCAGTGCAAAGCATCCCAATCCTACAGCATACACAAATGACAACCTTAAAGTTATGATATTTTCAAAGGGTAGACAATAAAAACCATCTTAGACGTTCTGGCATTAGAGTATATACGTGCAGACACATAGGCATGGTGGTGCAAGTGAGCAGCCAGCAGGAGTCGAGAGTTAGAGGTGTTTGGATCCCAGGACTAAACTTTAGTCCCTGTCACATTGAATTTTTAGATATTAATTAGGAGGACTAAACATGAGCTAATTATAAAACTAATTACATAAGTTATGGCTAATTCGCTTGCCAACGCCGTGTACAGGATGGTATGGAGATGTGGTGGAACTTATTCGTGGATTTGTTGGCGCACGAAAGAAATAGATATCGAATATCTCTTCCTGCCGGTATAAAACATGATCTTAGCCACATCACGGAAAGATCTACACAGTAGAGTCTGTGAGCCTGCGACGCCATGCTCTCTGTGACCGTGTAAATTTCACGAACTTAGCTTTTTGATTAAATGTCACTTTAACGTCGGTCATATATTTTTACAGTATTGTTATCTTATCATGTGATCCGTGTATTTTTAGTACAAAAGTTTAGGTGTTCCGTAGCAACGCACGGACTCGCTACCTAATATTCTAAATATACAAGATTTCTTTTTAGAACTTTACAAGGCAATGTTTCAAAGACTAACATTCAATGCCCTCCTCCTGTACTTGTACTTGTACACCTCAAAATACTAGAAAAAAATTTGTGCATGAATATTACTCACTTTACTTGTATAGCTCTATTGGTATTCACTCCATTCTACGTGTTTAGTCTAATACACGTGAAATGAGATCAATACGAGTGCAGCCGATCAAGGCCAAAATATATTCCATGCATCCACCTTCTATCCTTCAAACAAATCTGACAAGTGCTGCTCCAGCTCCTCCACGGTGCGCCCTTTGGCCACCTCTACCTCCGGATGGTCTTCCAAGTACCGTCGATACACCGGCACAACATTCTCTGCAACAGTCTTCCGGAGGATTCCCCGGATCACCGGGTTGGGCACCTTCCAGCATCTCTGCGCGCTGCAGGTGTTCTCCAACGCCGTGTAGAACGCACTCAGCCGATTGCTTCGGCGCCGGAGAGCAGCGCCAGACTTGGTCTTGGTGCCGCCGCCGTCCAAGCGCGACACGACGGGTTTCCACGACGCGTCCATGTAGCCTTTGATGTAGCCTTCCATGCGCTCCTCGCGGACGCGAACCCACCCCGGCGGCAGGAACAGCTTGAGGTCGGAGCGCACCGCGCGGCGCACGATGGCGAACGTGTTGTTGAGCACGAACACCTGCCTTAGCCCCGGAAACGCTAGCGCGGCAGACTTCTCCTCCAGCACGGCCTCCAGGCACGATATGAGCTCCCCCACCAGGCCGAGGCCGCCGCCGCCAGCTGGCGCGCGCGGCGGCGGCCGTGCTTCGCTGTCGCTGTCACTGTCGTCGTCGGCGGCGGCGAGGACGAAGTAGAGGGAGATGCGGTTGCGCAGCAGGCAGCGAAAGTAGCCCATCCAGAAGCCGACGCACGGGTGCACCTCGCCACCCTGTGGCATCCGCCACGGGTAGTGCGACCTTATGAACGACGTCCGGAGGTCGCGCCTGCAGCGCCGGGCCGCGTCCACCAGCCCGGCGAGCGCGGCCTCGGCGGCGACCGAGACCGGGTGCGCGGGGCCCCAGGAGAAGAGCCTCGCGAGGACGGGGAACGCCTCCGACACCGGGATGTACACGTCGAGCACCGCCAGCAGCTTCGACGGGGAGCTCCCGAGCGCGGCCACGGCGCCGGCCAGCGTCAGCATCGCTCCGGCGCTCGCGGCCGCGAGCTCCCCCATAGCGACCACCTGCGCGGCCATGAGCTTCTGGTGGCGAAGGCGGAATGCGTGCTCCATGGCGCTCAGCGCCTGCGCCCATGCCCTGACCCTCCTCCCGACCTCCCGCCGCGAGAGGAGACCACCACCACCGTGCTGGCCCCCGCCCAACGTGCCCGTGTCCAGCACCCAGCCGGCACCGAACCCGGCGAGCCAGCGAGACAAGGCGTCCGCGCGCGCGCGGGGCCTGGCGGGAGAGGAGAAGGCCGGGAGGAGTGCGAGCATGCGCTGCTGGTGCCTGTCGATGTCATCGAGCACGCAAGCGGACGACTCGGCCACGGTCACCAGTTGGCGGCCAGCGCGGTCGGCCTCGTCGGCGTTGCTGCTGCTGGAGCCGTCGCTGTCCGAGGGGCCGGAGCGCGGGGACGCCGCCGGGCTGCTGCCACCGCTGCTGCTGTTGTCGTAGCCGCCGGCGGGGCCGAACCTGCCGCCGTGCTCCATCTTGACGCGCGGCGCGCGTAGATGGCGAACGGCCTGCAAGATGCGCCGCAGCAGCTACTTCCAGCGAGGCACGCGAAGTCTACATGTCAACGCACGCAGCAACGGGCAGCGTCTACGGCTTTGGATAGTTTTCTCGGCTGCAGCCTGCAGACCAGTTGTGTTCATGTGTTGCAACGAAAGCAGTGGCCGTGGCATTGACTGGTGCGAGTCGCTTGCAGCTTCTGGCTCCACACGTTTTTCCACTGGATCGGAGAAGCTGGACTGAGACTGTGGACTAACAAAATATCCAGGCAAGCACGGAGGCAATTCACGGAAGAAACACCAACACGCGGGGGCGTGGACTCGACGAGCGAGTCTTGTGCACCAACCAAGCACCCCCTTCCCTTTCGGCTGTCTTCTCCGTCGGCCTCGCCTTCGCCAGTCACCGTGATTGCTCTGTTCTGACTTCTGAGCATCTGGCGGATCATAGCTACCAGGCCTCACCAGACCAGCCGCCGAGACGCCGGCCGAGGGCCCAAGGCCAGGTGCGAGTGGGCACGTCTATCGGGCATTGGCTATTTGACTCGCCTCAAAGAGGATCACAGGCTGCTCTTTGTATATAAAGGGCGTACTCAGTGCAGAGAGCTCACACTCTGTGCGGGTCTAGGGAAGGGGTGTTAGTGGTAAGCCTTTACCTCCTCGTCGGTGCAATGCGAGAAGAGACCACAACTCAAACCCGAGATCTTCCGGTCATAGGCGGTAAGACTCTACCGCCTGCACCAGGCTCCTCTTTGTATATGATTTGAATAATTGTTAGTCGAAATTTATATAAGTTGCTCTTTTTTATGTTGGTAGAGCTTCTTTCACTACTATACAAAAATATGTTTAGCCGCGGTTAAAATAGAATTTAGAAGCAGTTTTTGCAACTCTTGCTACACATGGGTCTCACAAAAATCAAGCATTAATAGGGACGGACAAAATTACCGATCACCTCTAGAAGTCATTTTACTAGGGGTTATTGGTAATGTTGTCTAGTCATAAAATTAAATTAATTTAAAACAGCTCACTCCATGCCCACGGCATCCCGCCTGCCAACACGGAGCGATGTGGGGGCGGTGGGGTGGGGGTGGGGATAAGGGACCACACTACTAGGACTAGGGATGGCAACGGGCCCCGATACCCAACAAGTATTTGATCCATTAGGAAACAGGGATGGGATCATTAAGGATGGCAACGGGTCGGGTTTAGACCCGAAACCCGTGGGTTTCAGACCCAGTGGGGGCAGGGGCGGGTCTGATTTTCGCCGTGCGGGTTTCGGGTTCGGGGACCTAAAACGGGTCGGGTCGGGGGCGAGTTTTGTTTCTCCCCCGCGGGTGCCCGTCGGGGACCCAAAATTTTGTAACCCTAGGTATATATTCCAGACTCAGTTGACTGATTGACTCCTCTCCCCACTCCCCTTCACCTGCCACTCAGCCCGCACCCCGCGCCGCACCCCCTACCCGCGCATCTGACGCACTTCCAGGGCGCTCGCTTCCGCCGTGGGCCGTGGCACCATTCCGCCGCCGCCTCTAGCACTTCGCGCGCGGCGAGCCTCCGCTTTGCCAGTCGAGCGTGAGCCTCCGCAGGGCACGCGCCTCCGGCCTTTGCCGTGGGACGTGGCTCGCGGCTCCACTCGCTCGGCGCCTCTTGCATTGCTCACCGGTCGCCGCGTCTCAAGGCCACGGAGGCGCAGCACATCTCGTAATTTAATATAGAATTACTTTTCTATAAATTTAACTATTCGACATTGATCCTCTAGAGTTCAACGCAGAAGCTCTGCTAAAGAGACTTGAATATGAAACAAAAGAAAGAAAAAAAAGTATACTGCTTTCTGCAAGCCTGATCCAAGAAGGAAGTGAGCTCGCAACACGAGTAAAGTAGAGGCCGAGCCGGTGGAGCTGTGTGCCCATTGGGACATTATCCTTTGCCATTGACATGGTCTCGCACTCTCTGTTATCCAATGCCTATTGTATTGAAGCACATTCTAATTCTAGTCCACATGTCGGATGAGGGAGTCATTGTAAACCCCCCAGTGATGCACTCTAGGGTTTGGGCCATGACAATACAAAAGTGCCAAAATTTAGGAGATTTGGCATCCTCTCTATGGTAGGGGATGAAAAATGGATGAGGGACTCTCATTTGTAATACCCATTTGGGGATTCTAGGGTCCCTCTAAAGTGCCATTGCATCCTCTCTAAAACTCATCCCTACCCATAGTTCTAGGGTCCCTCTAAAGTATTGCACAGAAAACTCATCCGCTCTCTATGTGCCACAGTTATGCTCCTTGTTTTTGAAAAAAAAATCAATGCTTATTTCATTCTCGTGTGAGGGATTCTAACAAAGATTGTTGTCATAAATATGGCTCAAGTTGTAACCATGCCTTTTTGAGACCCCACCATCAAGAGTTAAAACCAATTCGGAATGGTACACTCTTGTCAAACGGTTACATGATTGTTTTTCATACCATTGTTGCTTGTTCTACCTCAGAATCAGATGTTCCGGTTCAAATTTGTACGGTCTCCTTTTTCTTCTTTACTGAAAAAATTCATGTTACAATACAAGCCAGTTATGAGTGGTAGAGGCCCTACAGTAGTAGTGTTTGGTTCACTAACTATGAAACTTTGGGAATAATTATTTTGTTGGGGATTACATAGTTGGAAATTATCAAAAATTTTGGGAAAGATGGATTTTATACTATAGACATTGACGGCCACTTAGAGAAAAATACTGGTGGAGCTAACACTGTAGTCCACCTGTAAAGCATTGCAGGGAAAGAAACTCCTTTAGTAAAGTGAGTAAAAAAGAAAGAAAAACTCAACGACTGGTAGCCATGTTTGTCAGAACCCCAATGGAACAATCCTTTTTATGCACAAAACCATCCAAGTAGTCTAGCTTCCTAGACATCTCTTAAATAATGCATATGGCGATAATGACTTCCTTTTTTGATCCAGTAATAATGTGTTACATGTTTTAACATTTTCATAGCCATGTTTGGCAGAAAACCACTTGATACTCTACACAAAACAATCATAATTTTTATCCACAAAATAATCAAAGTAGTCTAACTCTGGATATATACCTCCTAAACAATATGAATGTCAATAATAACCAGCTACTTGGAGTGAGTAACACATTATAACTTTGGCATTACTCTACATATAAAGAACACATGCCAAACCCAACGTTAGAGTCCACTTCCATCCATGGTGGAGTTCATTAATATCAGTGACTTTTACCCGTAAAGTTGTTACACAGTCCACACATACATATATTTATTATAATGTACATTGCCTACGTACATAGTTACACAACATAAATCCATGCAATGATTTGGAAAGAACAATATCTATCACTTGTCCAAAAACCCCGGCAAAAGAAAAACTATTGAGATGGCATGTACATTGTAGCTAAGTATTAGCGACTATTGTGTATATATGAATGTAAGGTAGCATAGTTGTCTAATATTTTTTTTATTTTACACACTTTTTTCACCATGCCATTTGTATGTTTGATAATATATGCGAACTGTGATGAGTCAAGTTCCAAATTGGTTCTGGGTCAATACTTGAGAGCCACCCATAGTGGTTTTCTTATTTTGTAGCAGCATTTTATTATGTCTATATCCAACAATAATGTATAAGCAACTATACACCCTAGTCAAAGTATATCTACAAGATTGAATAAAACCATGCAAATTTAAGATGCATGAAATTAAGCAAAATGATGATTGGGCCGGCTTAGTGCCACACACCTGGCATCCTCCCTATGGAAACAAATAATACTCTATAGCACTAGCCTGGTTCTAGAGCCCTCTGCAGTACTGCAAAGATCCTCTCTTTATGTGCCATAGGTATATTCCTTGTTTTTAAAAAGAAATAGCTCAAGGTTTGTTTCATTTTGGTGTCAGGGATTCTAATAGAGATTGCCGTGATCCACATGGCTCAAGTTGCAACCATGCCTTTTTGAAACTCCATGGTTAAGAGTTGCAACCAATTTAGGAAGACACACTGCTCCAAAATGGCTAAACAATTGTTTTTTCTTATAATTGTTTCTTATTCTACCTCACAATGCAAACATGTAATGTTAAGTTAATTCATCCCCTGTTCAAATTTGTAATCACCAGTCTCTTTTCTTCTTTATCTTAATGATATGGAAAGATTGCTGGCCACTAAGGCATTAACCATTCCAAAAAAGAGTTTGCATAAAAGTTCTTATTACTAAAAAATGTCATGTTACAAGCACGCTAGTTATGAGTGCTAGAGGTCCTAGAGTAGTAGAGTTTATAAACACTACAAGACTTGCAATTTTCCAACAGATGTAGTATATTTGTTTCACTAACTATGAATCTTTGAACAATTATTTTGTTGGGGATTACATAGTTTGCAACTATCAAAATTGTTGGGAAAGATGGATTTTATACTACATAAATTGATGTCCGCTTAGTGAAAATACTGGTGGTGCTAACACTATAGATCACTTGGAAACTCCCGAGGTGAAGTGAGTGAAAAGTGAAAAACAAACCTCAACAATTAGTAGCCGTGTTTGTCAGAACCCCATGCGGCACTCTATGGAACAATCCTCTTTATGCACAAAACAATCGAAGTAGACAAGCTCCTTAGGCATCTCTTAAATAATGTGTATGACGACAATAACCATATGCTTGGAACGAGTAACATATTACATGCTTTAACTATAGTGTTATTCTACAACATGTGAGTTCACTTCCATCCAAGGTGGAGTTTATTAATATCAGTTGCTTTTAACCATAAAGCCGGTACACCAATCCGCACGTATGTATATTTATTATAATATACGTTGCCTACGTACATAGTCAAATAACATAATCAATGCAATGGTTTGAAAAGAACAATATCTACCACTTCTCAGTAAAACAGCCAAAAGAAAATAACCCATTGAGATGACATGTATGTTCTAGCTTAGGTTATTCCCTCCTCGATAATTAGGGGCTATTGTGTATATAT